TCACCCCGTCGTCCAAATCACTGATGAAGAGATTGAACAGCATGGGCCCAAGATTAATGATTTTACCTTTCAAAACCTTTTCAAAACCAGCATTCAGTTCTAATTTTCTGTGCCTTCTATCCCAAAAGAATAGTCAAACAATATTAATATTTTACTTTTAAAGCTGCATTATAGGTTAACGCATTACAATGTGAATTTCAACTCTCATGTCCAACAGGCAATTAAAATCTTTGGAGATTCATACACTTTAAAAGTGGCCATATATTCATGTCTGTAGAGCAGGGGTGGGCAAAATGCAGCCCGTGGGCTGACGGGGCTCCTAAAACATTTAGAAAATTAATACTTATCTGCCCCTGGCTGCCTGTCATTAGTCCCTCAATGGCTTGCCAAAACTCAGTAAGCGGCCCTCTGCCCGAAATAATTGCCCGCCCCTGCTGTAGAGCCTATAACACATGCAGTAATTGAAAACAGTGAGTGGAAGAATTCAGATGCAACAAGTTATTCTGCTGCCTTAGTACATATCTTCTATTGCATTTATCTCAAGTTTCTTCCACAGCAGTTACTTGCCTCTGATCATCTTCTCTACATAAAGAATTTTAAAACAGGTTTGAAGGAATTACTTTTACAGCTTTTACACGTATCACCAGAGTTTTCAAAAGCTGGCATTCAGATTGTGAACAGAAGAGGAATCATCCAAAATATATAATAGTAATAATCACAAGATATAAAATCATCATCTTGCTATGTGCAACAGTTTGTTCTGTACAGAAAGGACATAATAGACAAACAGCAGCAGGACTGAATTATAAAAAAGGACAGCTCCTCAAGCACAGATGGAATGTATTTTCTTATATCCCTTTTGTGACATGGTACTTATTCCGAATAATAATAATGAAAGCATATTTCCAGTCCTAATTTCATACAAATAATGTATTAAAGAATGCTAATCAGGTAGCCATATGAAATAAGAACTATGTATTTCTAAAATATAATAGTTTAATTAGAAATTTACAAATTTATATTTTCTCAGCTTTGAATAATGAGTCTGTAGAAGAAATTAAAGCTTAAGCACAGTCTTCCCTTTGTATTTCATAGCATGATCTTGTGTGTGAAGAACAAATCCTCTTAGCAAAGGCTGAAGCAATAAACAAGTTGCTGCACATGACATTTTATTTCAGGGATTAGGCAAGGGACACACAAACAGCAGGTAAGCGCACTTATACCTTCAGATTCCTTATCCAAAAGTGAAATATTTCACATTATCTCTGCCGTATACCTTTCAAATAATTTATGAATTCTTATGTTGCTAGCTTATTGCAGTTTAATGCATTCAGTTGAATAACCTACTTAAAACGTTGCCAAGACATTTTAATACCATGAAAGAGTCTGTGCATGCACAGATTTTTTTGTAAGCACATCAACCTTCTCTAAAACCATGTAAATCCAGCACATCCCTCCTCTCTTCTGACTAACAAGGAATTTCTACACAAGGATACAGATTAATCAGATTATTTCAGATGCAGATATGTGTAAAATCAGTGATAATTCAGGCAGCCAGGCAAGTCTGAAACAAACTAATCACTGGGTGTGTCTACACATGCATTTACTTCAGTTTAAAGTTACTGTGCACTAAATGGGAATAGGCTGTGGTCTACACGTGCAGGTGTTAAAGTGCATTAATGCTGTGTGTAGGCTGGCTTGGGAAAAAAGTTAGTCCCAAGTCAGTCCACACACAGTGTTACTGTGTAGTACAGCATCTATATGTGCATTATTGCGCAGTAACTAATCAGGTGCAAGTTCGATACCTGCATGATGCTGGTATCAAATTTATGCCCAAGCTGGCATAAGTCGCCATATTTACTACACAGTACAGGCATGCACATATAGATGCACGTCTGTACTGTGCAGTAACTTTGGTTACTGTGCAGTAAATGTGCACTTGTAAATGTGCCCTCTATGATGAGAATATGTTTTGAAAAAAGTTTTTTTCAGAGGCCAGGAAGGAATAGGGCAGGGACAGGTCTGTGTATTTAAACTCCTACTGAAATCCTAAAGATCTGATCTTACTTCGCATTAAAACTCACGCAAATGTCTTTGTGCCATTTAGCTTGGGGAAAACTTATTGAGCAATGAAATGCACTCCTTTCTCAGGAGTCAATGGCCAGATCCAATTTCACCTACTAGGCATCTAGGTGGATTTGGATGCCTAAACCCAATCCTAATCAACCCTGTTCAAGTTCCTGAAAATCCATTCATCCATCCATACTGTAACATGCTGTCATCTTACCCTTAAGACTCAGTCATAAAAAAACAGTGAGGAGGAGAAGACCCACTTACTTTTGCATTAATCGTTTTTTCAGGGACATGTGCAGAGTGAAACAGAACTGTACCTAGGCACCTACCTGCCTAATAGGTGGAAAAGAATCCAGCTTTAAGTGTGCAGCCTGCTTAGAAATCAAATCATAATTCATCAGACCCTGAAAGGAAGGGACTGTGACCTGAACTGAAATTAGACCTCTTACCATGGTTATGGGATGCATTTCCAAATACTTAACCACTCTCTTGGAATTAAATCCTTTTATGTTTCCCTAGTTTTGTTAATCTATTTCAGGGGTGAGTGAGTGGTGTAGGGCTGGTCCCCACCCCCCACCCCCACATCCCAGAGCCAGCTCATGCGGAGCTTGCTCCATGTCCCACATTGGGTGGAGCAGGTACTGTGCGCAGCACAATCCTGGACTGGCTGAAGTGGACGCTGTGTGCAATGTAGTTCCAGACCGGCCAGAGTGGGTGCCACCCACGTGCAGCATGGGTCCTGGGCTCTGCACACAGGGCTGGTCCAGTACATGTGGCACGTGGGCCAGCTCCTGACCCAGGGGCAGTACCAGGGACTGAATGATGGGGCTCTGCAGGCCAAATCTAGCCCGTATCTTTGACATCCCTAATCTTTTTTTTTTTATGCTGTTTTTTGTGGCCAAGTGAAATTTTTTTTTCCACCAGAATTTAATGCTGGCTGTACCAAGTGCCTAATTGTTTTCAAGAAAAACTCTTTACTTAGTGATACTCATACACATATGAATATTATTTCAGGAGGAAAAAATCCAGACATGTAATTCAGGGTGAAGGGAAGATATATTTATCTAAGGGTTTGTTTCTATTAACTTGACTAAAGATGCTAAATACTACCCTTAGGTAGGCCTACGGGGCTTCCTTTGAAGCAATGGTAGGTTATTGGGTTACACGCAAGAAGCATTCCTATCTGCCAAATTCTGCTATCAGATGTGATTTGGAATGAGAACTCCTCAACATGCATCATGTGAGGAAAGAGAATTCTAACTAGAAGATAAGATTTCTTCTTTGGTATCAGTGCAGTTCCCTACAGGTTTTAATGGGACCTGTCTAGACAAATCGAGGGTGAAAATGATCTCATAACAGATTGTTTAAAATTAATCCTGAACAAAATGAAGAGAAGATGAAAAATGAAAGTCTGCTAAATGATCATACCACTCACAGAGCTGTGGAAGAACACCTGAAAAACATCCTATTCTCCTCGCACCCTACCCCCGCAAACATCTTCCTCCTCTTTACACACATTATACTGCCTTGAATATATTTTATTGCTAAAAATAAAGTTTACCTGCAGCCTTTGATATATAACCTGGGCCCAAAAGCTACAACGTTGATTAAAACCTCCAACCTGAAACACAATTTAAAATAATGAAAAATAAGAAATGAGGTAAAATATAGTTGCAAAGAAGTCTTTGTATTAGTACCACAAAATACTTATTTCACTTTTTAAACAGGTTACCTCAAGAACATCCCTCAGACCATGCACAGCTGGGGGCACGTACAAATTAGAGATCTGTTCTTCCTCATTTACATCAACATATATTTGATCAGGCTGTGCAGTAAGAATATAACAGAAGCTTGGAGGAGGAAGTTTGGTTGTAGCCTGTTTAAGATATGGAAAAGAGTTATAGAATTAATTGTTCATCAGAACTCTTCTCTGAAGTAAAAGTTAGTGAAAAATCTAACATGATATCATTTTGTAGATTTCCTTTAATTATTTCCATAATTTGACACTGGCCCATATCACAAAAACATTGCATGATTTGGTAGAGTTGGCAAACGCAATGGCTACTCCGTGACATGGCAGTTGTAAGAGTTATGGATTGCACTATTTTCATATTTTTTATAAAAAAATGTTCATGGCTTTTGAGATTTGGGGATTTTTGCATGTGGGTGGGTGGGCGGATATTACAATAAATAACTAGCTAAAGAAGCATTGCTGAGGACCGTGAAAGTTGCCAACATAATTCTGGGCAGCACACTGAGATAATGGAGAACAGGGACTCAGAGAAAACTCTTGCCCCCCTTTTTTTCCCCCTAAAAAGTGTTATGATGGAACAACTTAGCAAGACTCATTCAAAGAGACTCCAAACTAAAACAGCTTCTTAACCTGCAGGGACAGTTCCACACTTATTATCACTTCTTGGGTTGTAAAATTCTATTCTGAAGATTTTATTTAGGAGTTAATAAAGCACTTCACATAATAAAGGAAATCTGGTTTGGCAAAAACAGCTGTACAGCTATTAAAAATAATTTTCACGTAAGAGAAAAAACATGTTAAACAAAAATCTGTTTCCCTTTGAATGTATTCAGCAAACATATGGCACAAGTAAAGCCTATTTCAGATTCATTTTTCACTTAGCAATATTAGCAGTTTTATTTGCTTTATAATTTTATTGTAAGTATTTTAGTTATAAAAATAAGCGCATATCTTCTCTACATCTGTATTGGTAAAATATATTGTAATTAAAAAAAGTTGTGCAAAAGTAGCAGCAGTAAAAGACAACTCTTAAGCCTCCTTGAGGCATCCTTATGAATTATGATCTCCAACTTATGAAATATACATGCAGGGCATGACCATGGAAAATGTCTTCCCTTTTTATTGTTCATAAACTAAAGGAAATTAAAATCAAATGAAGGTTACACCAATATTAAAACACATGTAAGTGCGCTGCTTCATTCATAAATGTTCCCAATCTGCTGCCTATGTAGTGCAGCATATAAATCAATCCATTCTTTTGAGACTTTTGAAATAGCTAGATAACGCTGTGAATTTAGTCCACATCAACTGTTTCTTTTAGGACTCTTCTTGCTTTTTCAGGTTAAGCCAGAATTTCAGTGGTGTAATTTTAAAAAAATACTTTATTTTCCAACATAAATTACTTAGCAATATGAAGTATATTGAAGAGGAAGAATCCTATGAGATTTTTTTCAAAAACAGTCAGTGGCCACAGCTACATGCACACTTAACTGTAGACTAATTAGCTGCAGAGTAAAGCAATAGCATGTACACGTGCAACACTATTAGGCCACAGTAAACTATTTAATGCCACTGTAAAGATGCTACTGTCAGAGACAGTACTATCTTACTGACAGTACTACCTTACAGCAGAGTAATTAACTGCGATTAAACACATGTGTAGACACTGGCTGCAGATGTAAATTGCATCTGGTCAGCCCTGGTCAGCAGGGGACCAGACTCCTATCTGCCGCCTAGCAAGTAAATGGTTCCACACTTTCAGCACCCTCATACCCCAGCCAGAGGCAGATTAAGAGTTACTGGGGTCCAGGGCAAACACAAAATTGGAGGCCCCCAATAGAGGTGCACTGATATATCAGTCACATCAGATCAGCACCAATAAAAGGAAAACCAACATTATCGGCTGTTGGCCTTTTTTTGGCTGATGTAGCCAATAATGTCACCAATACATGCTGCACGCATGCGTGTAGCTGCCATGGGGCGGGGGGGGGGGAGGGGCATGGGGGGGGCGATTGAGGGCCCCCCCGGGGGGGGGGAAGGGGCATGGTGGGGCAGATTGAGGGCCCCACAGTGAGTGAGGAAGTGGGGCAGGGGCAGGTGCTGCTCAGTCAGGTCAGAGAATGGGACTCCGGGGTGGGGCACGGGGCTGAGTTCCTATTCATGGGTGGCTCACCCTCCCCCCACCGCTAACTGGTGGAGGGCTCGTGCTTGCAACTCACTCATCATTGGCAGGGAAGCGAAAGCCACGGTTTTAAACTTGGTGCTGTTTTTGTCCCCCCACTGCTGACTGGCTGAGGGACCGGGGGGGGGGGGGGGGGGGGGGGGGGGGGGGGGGGGGACTCCTGGGCCCAGATGTTAATATGCCTATGGCCCCAGCCAGCCTCTCTGCTGCTTAATATTGCCACCAGGAGCCCAGGGCTGACCCCCTGTGCCTCCAACCCTGGCATAAACTGCTCCTCCCCAGCTCAAATTGCTGTTGTCTTGGTTGCACATGTAGATGCTATGCCTGGGAATAGTTTACTCCAGCTCAAACTCCTCTGCAGTTTATTGCTTCAAATTAATTACACATGTAGATGCACCCAGTAATGACCAAACTTAATTTCCATTTCCCTTATCTTTGCTACTTTTTTCTTCTTCTTTTTGTTGCTGTTCTGTTTTTTTAGGAGTTTTCAATATACACACCCAGGTTAGATACCGTGTCACACAATGATTGAGACTCTAGGTTCTAAGACAAAATAAAAACTAAAAATGAATTTTCCAAGGAACAGCTGTTCAGGAAGAGTAGGGCAGCATAGGTACCTGATTCTCAATTAGTGAAAAAATAACTCCTTAAAACTCTTTCATCAGATCAGTACTCCCAAATACTGAACAATAAAGCAGTGTTTCCTTTTTGTGAATATTGAATTAAAAGTAAATTACAGATGAAATCCTATTTTCAACTGAGCAGTATCAGTATAATTTGTATTATGATTTAGCTTCAAAGTCTCATAAATGCTCTCATTTTATGCAGGAGAGAGAGATATCTTAGATTGATATCTTTTATTGGACAAACTGCATAGTTGGGATAGAGTTAGACAAACTTTCAAATGCAAAACTTTCTTTTAATTTTACCTGTAGCAACACTGTTTTAATGCTCTGTTAAATCTCAAACTGACAATTTTTATGCAAGCAAAGAGCCCTGACTCAGACTGTCCTTGTCAAGTTATCCTTTTAAAATACTTTGAAATCTCAGGGTAAAAAGTGCTGTATGAAAACCATGTATAATTATTGTTACCTTCAGCGTTTCCCTCTCTTCCCTCTAGAAAAGAAGGGCAACATCTTGTTAGAATCATTAGCTCACTAACTATATTTCATGTGCGTGGAGGATTAATGAAGCAGTAATCAATTTTGTGAGTATAAAAGTGAAGGTGCTGATCTGAAGGTTGGTAAATTAATTTGGAATGAAGGGAGAAGCTCTACAATGCAACTGAACACATACAGGGAGAATGTGACACCCAAACACACAAAGTTTCACCACTGACACAGAAAGTTTAATTTTAGATGAACAACAATAACTGTATGACTTACCGCTTCACAGTCTTGACTTTGACCAGGAACTTTTAGAGGCACTAAGGGAGGCCACAAGCTGTCTATCAGACTAAAGAGTTCCAATGCCCTTCAAAAAGAAAAATCTGTTTTCAAATGTTTTCAATTTGATATGCTTCAATAGAAAGACTCAAAAAATATCATGCATGTGATCATGAAAACAAATTTAAATTGTATTTGTTCTCTAGATGATGTCTTGGGCTGGTTTAATTACAATGCCAGGATTTCTGCTGCGGAGAAAAATAAAAGATGAACTGCTGAGTATTAAGTGCCAAGGGAGTCCCATTTAATTCTTTGCCATTAACAGCCCATAAAATGTTTCAATACAATTAGGTTGAATTCTGACTATATGGAAGATATAGATAGTGATACAGTTCTTTTCTGAAAAAGGGTTTTACAATATAGAATATTTTAACATGTACAATAAAATCCAGTTGCTAAAGCTGCTTTAGAAACCAGGGGTTGCTACTTTAGAAATCAGGTGCATCTATACACATGCTTTGGGGTGAGGCATTTTAATTAGAGCGGCTCTGGGCACGGCTGCCCAAGTGTTTTAATTAGAACGCTCCAGCAGTATGTTTAATCAAGTCTGCTCCGACATATTCTGATTAGAACGTGTCAGAGCAGGCATCCTGCAGGAGTACAGGCACACAATGTTTCTAAAGTAATTAGGCAGCCCACCTTTTGATGTAGGTGTGTTGCCAGGAGCACATAACTCTAGTGTTCCAAAGTCTACACTGGCTCCCAATAGCTTTCTGGGCGCAATTCAAGGTGCTGATTTTGACATATGTGATTTTTGACGTAAACAGTCTGAGCCTTTTCCCATTGTGATCCCTAAGGTCAGCCAACAGCAACTTTCTATAGGTACTGTCAATATTCCAATTCACAAAAAACACACGAGATGTCATTCTCAGCAACTGTTCTCCAGCTCAGAGCTGATGCCGGAGCTGTGCAGCCCGGCGCAGCTGTTCGCAGCCTGCCCGCTGCTTGCTGCAGCTGTCCAGAGCCTGGGCTGGCTCCAAACAGCTACGCCGGGCTCATCGCCTCTGTGCCCAGAGCAGGGGACAGACCAGGGCTGCACTGCCTCATGCCCCTCCCCCACTGCCTGCTCCGAGACGCGCCGGCACACACTGGTGTGGAGCCAATGCCAGAGTCTGGCACAGCTGTTTGGAGCCTCCCAGCTGCAGCCAGCACTGGCTCTGGGAAGCTGCTGCCAGCCAGGATCCCGGGCTGTTCCCAGAAGACAGCTGGGATGCTGTAAGCCCAGCTGGGAGCAGCCCAGGCTCCGTCGCTGGCAGCAGCAACCTGGAGCCGGGGCCGGCTGCAGCCAGGAGGCTCCAAACAGCTGTGCTGCAGCGTGCCAAGCAAAACGGCCTTGCGTGCCATGCTCAGCACACGTGCCAGGGGTTGCCAACCCCTGCTTTACTGCCTTCTATTCAAAGATTTCAGTGTAGATTATCATTAACAAAGCTGTCCAAAATGCTAGGAAGAATCTGAAGAAGAATCTAAAGCAGAGGTTCTGAACACAAGATGCCTTGCTAGACTCAAGGCACACCTCTGAAAATGCCAGGTCTACGTTTTCACACTTTTTTAACTATAGAAAAATAACACAGCAATTATTTTGTTGCAAAGAAATCATAAAGACTATGACAGGTCAGAATGTTTTTAAAACTATGGATTCCCATTTGAAATCTCTGTGTTCATCTTGTGAATCATGTTTGTACACCTTACAGTGCTAACATTGTGTGCTATGATAGTGCTATGAAAACTCTGTAGCACCCTTGAAAGGATTTCAAGGTTCCCCAGGATGTTGGAGCACTTAAGAATCACTGATCCAAAGGCTTGTCAGGCAAGTTAAGTCAATGCTACAGGTGTAAAGTGAGTTTACTCATTAGAGAACATAAAAACCTCTGTAATAACACATTTATTGAGAAATAAGGGGCACTGAAGTTTGCTGAAGAAAGTGTGATCTCATGGCTAGTGTAGGGACTGAGGATTAACCTACAGCACACTAAACCTGCTTAACTTTTGAATCTGAATATTTGCATTTAATGGGCTTTAACATTATACTTACCCTTTCTTGGCCTTAATTCTTCTGAGTGTTCCTACATAGACAAGTCCTGAGAGATCTGAATTTCAGTCCCTGAAATATCATACTACTGTACCTTATTCTGCTCAAGGCAAGAGGCTCACCACTTCCTAGTTGCTTTAAGAATGTGGTTTGGTGCTTTTTGGATGATAATATTCTTGTCCCTATCACCAGGTAAATGATACATTACATTTCTACAAAGGTTTATCCAGTGTATAGCATTAAAACTGCTGGGAACACCTCCTTGTTTATTTTTAAAAACTTGATTTCTTCTTGAAAGCTTTTTGCATAGGTTTCACTTGACCATTCTTTTAATACTTTATATTTTATCTGCTTTTTGCCATTTCACCCTCTTTCTGATTTGTATTCGATTTAGCTGAGGTCAAAGAACCTCTTCTCATGTACTTTCCTAGAGCACCACATGAATTATATATTATTGTTATTATTACTTATTATTATATATTATTGTATAAATAATAATGCTTGTGGAATAGCAATGCAGCAAGGTTAAGCAAGGCAGTTAGGAAGGTTATAGGTTAACTAGCTCATCTGGAACTACACTTTTAGTGTAAAATTCAACACAGAAACTGGTGAATGTAAACTACTTCCCTACCCCAGCCATCTTCTCTGCTATTGGGATGTACTTGGTAGCCATGTTGATCCAAGACAAAAAGAAATACAAAAACCAGAACTCTTGGTTCCAAAATGATACCTTTTATTAGACCAACTGGAAAATGGCAAGAAAAATGTCCTTTTCTGCAAGCTTTTGAGATCAAAGTCCCTTTGTCAGGCTTTGGAAAAAGTGTAGATGGTACAAGATGGTAAAAATCCCTGCCTGCCATCTGACACCTTCAGGGAAGGAATTCTACCTGATCAACACATCAAAGAGCTACTCAACACAGCTCACAAAGACACGCTCATGGACCCAGAGGGACAACCTTCCATCTTCAGCTCCCTCTGTGCAAAAATGAATTTTATTTCCTACCTATGGGGAATTTTTACCATCTTGTACCATCTTACACTTTTCCCAGAGCCTGACGAAGGGACTTTGATCCCGAAAGCTTGCAGAAAAGGACATTTTTCTTGCCATTTTCCAGTTGGTCTAATAAAAGGTATCATTTTAGAACCAAGAGTTCTAGTTTTTTGTATATCTTCTCTGCTAACGAGCATTTAAGAAGTGCAAATATATACAGTGCTTTTACTGAAATGAGCTTTTTAACCTGCTCTGCCACTAGCTGCCAACCCTATGAAAACAGAACAGACTCGTTGACCTTATCTCTTTTCATCATTTAGAAAATTTAAAACATAAAGCAGCATTTTTCTACTCAAGAAAGAGATCCCAGCAAACTGGAAACCTTTCAATTTCATTATCACAGTAACACTTTCATGTCACACAAATTGAAATCTGGCCCCAGCATCTACAGCTACAGAAAAGCCAAGGTTTTGCTTTGAAGGAGAATAGGGAACAAAGAAGTTGGACCATGGAGACACCTTCCACTCTGATTTTTTTCACAGAAGCAAGGACATAAGGGTGGACAGCAGCAAAAAAATGGCCAGGAGGTACAGAAATTGTACAGAACTGCTGGCCACAAACTCTATACACATGGTAGCAGTTACTACAGCCAGTAAGCTATATCAGTTGCTGCAGCCCACAAATGGTCTTTGTCTTGCTGCCAACACCTCACGGGAAGCTTCTGTTTCTATTCAGACCCTGTTAGGTCCTCATATAGCCTGTGTATTTATATATTTATCTGCAAGTTTGCTATTAAATGTTACAATACAGTGCTTCTTTTCTGTATATTTATAAATGCAGACTGTTTTATCTAACGCTTCAAAGCAGGCTGAAGGGTTTCTTTAATAATTCATGCTGTTAAACAAGTTGAATGCATGGTTGAGAGAGTGTAAAAAATACCTTCTGCATGTGTAGAAACAATGCCTGACCTATTTAATAAATCATCTTAAACCGCTCAATGGAACAATTACTAAAAGATAAATGGTGATACTAATAACAACAGAGACAAGTAACTTCCACCCTCTGTGAGGCTGCTTGCATTTGTTCACTAAACCACCTCCCTTCCCCGCTTTCACAGCTCAGCAGTATAATCAGGAAACACAAACCACCTTCTGTTTCTAGCCTTTTAGGCTTCCAGTGCCCTTTAGCACAATGGTAAAGGGTGTGTTTGTATGTACTTAATCTTTGACTTTTGATAAAGAATAAAATTAAAAGAATCATTCGCATAAATACTGAGATTTTATTTCCTATAGCTTTAATAATAACTCTAACCTAGTACTTTGGATCTCATTATCTTTACTATGTTCCAGTGGAAGCTACACCATGCTCATATCCCAAGGTGCGTCAGAAAACCAAAGAGAAATTCAACCTCTGATTTAAAAAAAAAACCACGATTAATTATTTATATGGAAAATATTGTAATTGATAACAATAATAAGGACCTTTGTGTGCCTTTCACTTGAGGATCTTAAATTACATTTCTATGTTATTCCAGGAAACGGGTATTATTAACACCTATTTAAACAAATGAGAGAACCAGCACTCTGATAAAGTGAATACCTGATTAAGTGAATCTGAGTTCACAAAAGCTTGTGCTCTATGTAATTTAAACCATCTATCTTATTTAGTTAGTCTAAGGTGCAAATCTGCCCTGCCTTCTGACTAATTTCAGACTAATACTGCTAACTACCTCTCTCTACTGTGACTTTGTGACACTAGAGACATTTTTGTAAAGCTTTCCACAACTGCTGATACTGGACAGCATTTCATACAGACAGCATTTCAGTTCTTGACATTCTTTCCAACACCATAATACTTAAATATGCTAGCAGCAAATCTAATTGCTGTTACAGTTGAGATGGTGTTGGCCAGCAGTGAGCTGTCTAACAGAAGGGTTTCTGACATCCCCCACTCCCCCACCAAAATGCTGTGTAAATTAAATCTACATACAGACTAGGACCCAAGAGTT